TCATTACTACCTGGGTGATGCAATTGTTTGTTATGTCAATGATGATATCAAATGTATTGAATAATAATCATGACCATGTGAATATTTGTTGGATGGAGGCATTCACATACAAGGAAATTATTAAATAGCTAAGTCATGTTTGTTTTATTAAAGATGTATGATTAATTATATTCAAAATACACAATAAAAAAACTTCAAGACTGTACCACTGTGTCAATCAAGCTATCAAGCTGTTATGGTTTCTAATTTAGGGTCCCATCTTTCTTTGCTTATATATAATCTATTGGTTCTCTCTTTACTGGTCAAATGATGCCAAATTGGGTAATGGGTATTCATCAAATATCAGAATCTGATTATTCTTTAAAAAGATAATCAAGGTATTGGCATACTGATAAGTTAATAATATTCTTAGTATTTTTATCATATTGTCTAAAAGCTTACTAGTAGATGTTGAAAGTGCCAATATTTATCAGATATTCTTTTAAAATTAATCCTATTTTTTAGTTAATCATTGGCTTAATTTAATAACTCTTTTATATTGTAATTAAATTATTGGTTAAATATTTCTAAAGCTTTTTGTGCTAAAATATTATCATAATCTTGAGTAACTGTTAGGTTTCTATTTGAATAAGGTTTGCTTGAATAAAACAAACAATTTGAATAAAATGAATAATAGTAATTTGAATAAAAGGAATAAAAGGAATAAAACAAATAATTAATTAATAAAATGAATAAAAGGAATAAAATGAATAATTAATTAATAAAACAAATAAAAGGAATAAAACAAATAAAACAAATAAATGTACAGTCAGAACTTGTTAAAACAATGCTTTGATAAACCAAATATACACGATAAGCCGATGTTGTTTTATTATCTACCTATCAAATTTACCTCATTAAGCTGATTTTATTAAGGTTTTTTAAATTGAAGTTTTTTTTTTTTGAAAATATTGACTTTGGTTTAATGAGTTCTGACTGTATTATGAATAGAAACCATGCATTAATACCAAAATCAAAAAACAAACAAACAAATAGTTTTTATTGCGAAATAATTAATTTTGTTCCTTTATTGAATCAATCACACAAGTAGTGGTCAATTTAAACAGCATTGTTTTTAAAGAAAATAATATTATTAAATGTATAAAGTTTAATGATTTTTAATGTTGCAAATTTTTTTGATGTCAATCTCAAAATCAATCATGTTTATATACTTTAAAGTTTCTTTATTTCTTTTTTTGATAAATAATAAATTTATCTTTGTTTATTTGCTTTAGTAGATTCAAATAGATTTTATTAAATCAAAAATGGTACACTATCAATTACATGAAAACACACTATTAAGTTAACTTATTACAAAGTCACTTTTAAAGTACAGCGAATTCTTGTTCCTTATATACATGTTTAATTAAACAAGTCTTTAAACGAAAACGTGACAGTGAGCTTCGTGTGTTTTACTCACACAATGACATCACTCAGGTCAAGACAATAGTCTATTTTATTAATTCAAAAAAAAAATATAAATAGGATGGCCGTCCCCACATTTTTGTTTCCTCTCAAACAGGGATGTAAGACATTTGATTATAAAATTTTTTTTTTACTATGTAAATTCGAATTTTACTCTCATTTACTATTACTATAGATCTGTGGTGACTATTTAATTCCAGTAATTTTTTTCAATTGCTTTTTTAGATAACGTTTGTATATAATATGTAAATATGTAATAAATGGATCACAGCATAAAATAACGATATTCTTATTTTTTTCCTTTTTAAATATATACAGTGCAGGACACCTAATCCCGCAACTTACTGCGCCACGACGACGAATTTTGGGAAAAAATTTCCAATCAAAA